TCCTAGTGTGCTGGCAGGCTACTGTAATCCCAGCTACTCGGAAGGCTGAGGCAGGAGAGCTGCTTGAACCAGGGAGGTGGAGGTTGCAGTGAGCCAAGATCCTGCCATTGCACTCCATCCTGGGCTACAGGGTGAGACTCCATCGCAAAAAAAAAAAAAAAAAAAAAAAAAAAAAAAAAAAAAAAAATCAAGGCTTTTACTTAAAAATAAGCTTTTCACTAAAAAGTAAAGAATGAAGTTTCAAAAACACAGACATTTGAGGCAGTGAATACTTTTGATGTGAATGTCAAAATCAGAATGCAGCTGACACTGGTTTAAAGAAATGAAGCTCTCGGAGAACCCCAGGGATTTGGCCTTTGAGTATCCTTATATGCTGTTATACCTCTCTTATAGCAGTTATTACAATGTATTGTAATAAGATTTGCATGTTTGCTAATCATTACATTGTGAAACCCTGAGGGACAGGACTGAATGTATTCAAATCTGTTTTCCCAGTACCTATCAGAGTAGATGGCATTAGTAGCATCTATAAAAACTTGTTTATGGGGATTTTGTTTGTAGATTAAGTAATACTTAAATAGAAATCTATTCGATGAAAAATTGAAAAACAAGGCTGTTTGCTGGTTTGTAGAAATGCTTGACCACGAGTTCACTATTGAGTTTCAAGTTTCAAAGCACTGTGTACACAGTTTTTAAAAAGAGATTTATTGATATATAATTAACATATCATACAATTTGCCCACTTCTCGTATGCAACTCTGAGATTTGTTTCTAAAGAGAGAGAGAGAAAAAGGAAAGGGCAGAGGTCTCTTTTCCTTGAGTTGTACACATATTCACACTGGGGTGCTGTGCTGATAACAATATGATGTAAATGACCCATCTAGATCCTTTCTGTTTGGATTATGGGAAGAAGTTTACAAAGTGATACCTAAAGATAGGTAGAAGAGGACATAAATGGAAGGAAAGGAAAAGAAGAAAAAGATTCTTCAATATGTTATTTATTTCATGCTAGGAGAAAAGAAGCTGTGGGGACTTTTTAATGTAAATCTGAACTTTGGACATTATGTCTTTGAATATGCTGTAAGACAGATCCTAGAATCTGTCTCATTCCTTTAGACTTATCCGGGGACACATTCTTAGACTTGAGTTATTCTGCTCTCTTATTTTCCCAAATCTTACTTGGTGGTTATCTATTGCTGCATGACCAATTATCCCAAAAATTAGTGCTTAAAGCAATAGTAAACATGTACTACATCACATAGTGTCTGTGGGTCTCCATTTCAGAAGTGGCTTAGCTGGGTGGTTCTGGCTTGGAGTGTCCCACAAGGTGGTGGTTAAGAAGCCAGCTGGGCCTTTGGTCATCTGAAGGCTTGACTGGGGCTGGAGGATTCATTTCCAAGAATGACTTATTAACATTGATGGCAAACCGGTGCTGATTGTTGATGTGATGCTTTAGTTTCTTGCCAGGGGACCCCTGTATGGGACTGCTAGAATACCTACAAGAGAGGACAACTGGCTTCTCTCTAAATAAGTGATTCAGGAAGGCATAAGGCAGAAGTTGCAATGACTGTTATAACCTGGCCTTGATATTCTCACACTAATTTCTGAAAAATTCTATTGGTTACAAAAATCAGTCAAATTCAGTATGGAAAGGAATAAATAAGAATGAGAGTAAGTGAGGAAGGGATCACTGAGGGCCATCTGGAAGGCTGACTACCACATTTATTTATTTATTAGAGACACAGTCTTGCTCTGTCTCCCAGGCTGGAGTGCAGCGGTGCAATCAGCTCACTGCAGCCTCAACCTCTTGGGCTCAAGCAATCCTCCCATCTCAGCCTCCTGGGTAGCTGGGACTACAAGGGCCAGCTAATTAAAAACATATTTCTCGTAGAGACAGAGTCTCACTATGTTGCTAGGGCTCGTCTCCAACTCCAGGGCTAAGGGATCCTCCTGCCTTGGACTCCCAAAGTGCTGGGATTACAGGTGTGAGCCACTATGCTCCCCTTATTTCTTAAAAGAGATATATACATATATATTTGAGTTACATATATACCTGAGAGCTATCTATATCTATATCTGAAAGGGGATTCCTCAACCAGGAACCAGCTCTTGAATAACATATTACATTGAAATTTAGCCTGACTGAAAGAGTATCTCTGGGGATAGCTCGATAGTGCTTAAATGGAAAAGACTAGAGAAAAAGGGAGGCTTTTATTGCTAAGCCTAATTTCCATGAATCTGAACATTTTTTCATTTTTTCCCTAAAAACTTTTTTTTTTAAAGACAGGGTATCGCTGTTGCCCAGACTGGAGTGCAGTGGTGTGATAATAGCTCACTGCAGCCTTGACCTCCAGGGCTCAAGTAATCTTCCTGCCTCAGCCTCCTAAGTAACTGAGACTACAGGGGTATACTACTATGCCTGGACTAATTAAAAAATTTTTGTGGCTAGGTGCTGTGGCTCACACCTGTAATCCCAGTACTTTGGGAGGCTGAGGCTGGTGTATCATTTGGGGAGCTCCAAACCATCCTAGGCAACATGTGAAACCCACCTTTACTAAAAATACAAAAATTAGCTGGGCATGGTGGCAGGCACCTGTAATTCCAGCTACTTGAGAGGCTGAGGCAGGAGAATCACTTGAACCCAGGAGGCAGAGGTTGCAGTGAGCCAAGATCACACCATTGCATTCTGCCCTGGGCAACAAGAGCAAAACTCTGTGTCAAAAAAAAATTTTTTATTCCTGAGTAGAGACAAGGTCTTGCTATGTTGCCTAGGCTGGTCTTCAACTCTCCTTGGTTCGACTGATCCTCCTACCTCAGCCTCCCAAATAGCTAAGACTACAGAGGCATGCCACAATGCCCAGCTAATTAAAAAAAAGAATTAAATCCATGTTTCCATGATAATTTTTTTTTTTTTTTGGTAGAGAAGGAATCTCCTTATGTCTCCTTATGTTGCTCAGTCTGGTCTTGAACTCCTGGACTCAAGTGATCCTCCCACCTCAGCCTCTCAAAGTGCTGGGATTATAGATATTAGCCACTGTGCCTGGTCCCTATAAACTTCTTTAAAGAAAAATATTTAAAGAAACCCTTATATTTTCTTATTCAAATTACATGATTGTCCAATACTCTGAAATGAGTGAAATATTCTATTAGACATAGTAGTGGAAAAAGAAACTTGTGGTTTTAATCAGTAGAAATAAAAAACGATTTGGCAACATCTTTATGTTTGCACAGGACAAGATGACCTGCATCATCGCTTGCCTTTAATGTACATTTTGTCCTGCTTTTAATCTAAGGGTCTGGACATGACAGACAATAGAGACACCTGCTGTTTTTCAAAGAATGTCAAGAGGCTATGGTACTTCCTGAACAAGAAGAAACAGATTCTACAGGAACAGTTCCAAGACTGAATATAGGATTAATCATTTACCTTTCTATATTCTTAATCAGCTTTAATGACAATGCCACTTGAGTGAAGAAAAGGATTTAAAGTAAAACGAAGTTCATAATTCATTGCATTCTTTCCATCCATGGCAAACTCCTGGGGGTCACTGTGATTCTTAAGTAGAAAGGACATAAGATGTGGGGGGTGTATGAGAGATCTGAGTTTTGGTTTTGTCACTAGTTTTATAACCTTAGGAAAGCTGTTTAGCCGTTTTAATGGGTTTATTCTACTGTACATTGGTGGGCAAAGATGGGAGAGGCGCTTAATCTTAAGGTTTTCCTTCACCAAAGCGGCTGACACAATCAACACTAAATAGAAACATATTTTGCACAGCGTCCTTGCTCCTCCCTCCTCGCTTTTCTTTGAAAGTCTTTATGGACCTCCTGTATACTCTTGCTAAGCATTTCTTACTAGTCTGCATCGGGGCTACTCATTGAATCTTTAGCTAGCGGTGTTTCACAAAGGGAATGAAATCTTGTTCTTGGGTTGTGAAGTCGTAAGGACACGACGGTCTCCAGGCTGACATTCGTTTATAGAAGTGCCCATTTCCTTTCCTCGTCACACCTAAGGCCCTTCCCGGGTCCCACAAAGATGATTCGCTTCATGTTAGGCGGTTCTGGGGACTGCGCCAATTTGCAGGATCCTGGCAGCGCTGGTGCTGAGGAAGAGGATGGATCCTTAAGGCTTGCAGGGCCTCACCATTTGGGCCCTTCATCGCGACTGCCTCAGTATGTAATTTCGTATCGTGACAAAGCATTTCCGATTTTATTCCGAAAAGCCCAACCCTGGGGTCACAACCATGCCTCTATAACCAATTTAACTGTCGAGCTAGAACACCTCTGTGCGCCAACTACTTGTCTAGGAAGCCCTACTTCTCCCCTCGGGACAGGCGGGGAGTTGAGGCTATGGCTGGAACTACGAGGCCCAGAATTCCTATGCGCATGCGCACTGCCATTATGCTGCTCCTTTCCCGGTAACTCGCCCTCTCAGGCAAACCTGAAGATAGCGGCAATACTCCGGTGGGGGGCGGAGACGGTTTCTACCCGATTCTCCGCCCCCTTTTTGATAGGCAATGGGGCTAGCCAACCGACGCTGCGAGTTCGGAAAGCACTCTCCAATCAGCACCTGTAGCGGAGAGGTGGGCGTGCGCGCTGGCAGGGCAGGTGGGCTAGGCTGTGTCGGGTTACGAGGGGGGAGAATAACGTCGGGTCGGGTCAGCGGGCGCTGCAGTAGTCGCCGCAGCGGCGATGGGAGCGGTGGGGACCAGGCGGCGGCGGCGGCGGCAGGAGGGGGAACAGGTGCTGGCACAAGAGCAGAGGCTGGGGGGAGCCGGCAGTAGCAGCCGCCGCCGCCAGTAAACGCGGACCGTACCCTAAGGGACTACCCAGCCGGCTGGCCCTGGAAGCCGCGCTCGGGTCCCGCCGCAGTCGGCGGCGGGGGATGGGCAGGCAGTGGCGGTCCCGTCCGCCGAGGGTTAATCCCCTCCGGTCCCGGTCCTAAGCTGGACCAGAGTCCTCCGCCAGAACCCCCGCGTCCGCCACGGCCCAGGTAGGACACACCCCCCGACCCCCCAGGGCGCCGCCCTCCCCTAGTACAGACCCCCTCCTCTGGCCGCACCCCTCGCCGAATGACCGAGCCTGCTGAGGAGGGGAAGGGTACCGGCGACTCTCAGGTCGCTGCAAGTTCCGGGCTTCTGCCAGACCCCGTCACTCTTCACCCCGGAGATCGTTCTGGTTCTGTCCCATTTCCCCGGAGGCTGTTGCCCAGCTTTGCCCGAGGCTTTGGGTGTCTTCACTGAACTTGGAGGGTCATGGAGCTTCGTTCTGCGTCTGTCTCTGTGGGTGACCCACATATCACTTGTATTCATGCCACTTCTGGTACGAGCACCGAACACGGATTCCTAGGAAATCTGAGCGCTTGTTTCCCACCCCGCCTCCCCAACTATAATGGAAAGGAACATGGAACTGTAGAATCTGTTTGCTGTGTTGTAACGACAGTGAAGGCCGCGACTTTCTTGTACTTTAGGGTGCTGAAGTAATGACCTGAGGGATTTACTTGTCATTTGCTTTGACAGAGATGATGTTGACACCCTGGGATGCTGTGGGAGGGACAAAAGACCCGCGTATATGTTCTGTCAAGTCAGAGAAGTAAATAATCCATTGGAATGCCAGGATACTTTATCCTACAGTGAAGTTAATTTTGTTTCCGTCGGGGCTACGGTAGAGGTAAAAATGACATTGAGTTGTACTTTGCTTTGAATTAAAGTTGATGGGTAGCAGCAATTCTGGTATTAACTCTTCTCTCCCATCGCTTTAGAAATTGTTCTTTGTTTGAACATTAGAGAGGACAGTTTTATTATACGCTTTTAACAATGTGAAGATGTTTTGTTATTCAGTAGAAACTGAGTTTGTGGGGGGGGAGGGTCATGAATGGGCACATGTAGACACACATACACACACACAGAGGGAGGATCCACTCAGTGTGTTTTGTTACAATGTTTGGTTCTGAGCCATTGATAACAGTTGCATTGGTATCTAAATTCTGATTTGCCACAATATACCACAAAGATATGTTGACTGTATTTTTGGCTAAATGGAATAGAATAACGTTCATTTGGGGGTAGAAGGGGGAAGTGATTTTAACTTATCGAGGGAATTGAATGCTAATTATTGCTGCTTTTTTCCTTTTTTTTTTTTAAATAAAGAAGCAGTAACGATGACAAATACAGCTTAATAGGACTAATGGAGGCATTTATCTGAAGTCAAAAACTGTTTCAAATAATATGTGTGTGGTATATTGTGATCTATGCAAATTGAAGACATATTGAAGGAAATCTTTGATTTAGAAGCTTATGTTTTCCTATATGGTAAGATTTTATCATGACACCGAAAGGGACATTTGAAACATGATTATAAAGGAAAATTTCTCTAACATTTTTCTTTTATTATAGAATGTTAGGAAATGTTTTTTCCCTCTTCCAGTTTTAGATATACAAGAAATTAAAGTCCATAACTTCATTAATTTAATATATAATATCAAGTTGATGCAAATTTGCACATTGGTAGGGGGCTGACTGAGAATAATGTATCTTGCTCATTATCTTGTACTATGGTTAATACATAATATAGTAAATTATTGCATTATATATGACTTCAGCTTTTTTGTGTCTTCTTTTGACTTTACTGATTATTTTAATACTTCAGGAAATCTTCATGAGGTTAGACCTCATTTGCTTTAGCAAATTGAACTCAATTATGTGTGGCTTCAAATATCTTTAAATGTAATACTAGAAGGGAAGTTTGTATAATTTAGACAATTTTGAGGGCCTTTTACATCTAAAAAGTGCACTAAAAAGATGGCAGCGATAAGTTACTGGTTTTTTAAAGTAAATAAATATTACAAATCGGAGTTAGCTGTGATCATGGAATTTAAATTTCACTTTGGTGGCGGGGGCAGCCAGTTTTTTATATGCTTTATAACTTTAAAAAGTAACATACATACAGATGACTGCTTGATTACAACTCATAAGAGACTCTGAGCCAGAACCACCTACCTAAGACATTTTCAGGTTCTAATTCTCAGAAACTGTGTGAGATAAAAAATGTTTGTTGCTTAAAAAAAAAAAAAAAAAAGCTTATGCCTGTAATCTCAGCACTTTGGGAGGCCAAGGCAGGAGGATCACTTGAGCCCAGGAGTTTGAGACCAGTCTAGGCAACATAGGGAGGTTCTGTCTCTACAAACAAACAAACCAAAATTTGGCTGGGCATGGTGGCTCACACTATGGTTCTAGCTACTAGGGAGGCTGAGGCAGAGAATCAGAGGTTGAAGCTGCTATGAGCTGTAATCACTCCACTGCACTACAGCCTGGGTGATAGAGCAAGACCCCATCTTAGAAAAAAAGTATATATATATGTATTTTTTTAATAAATATATATAAAATATATATATTTATATATATATAAATCTCTGATAAAGAAAAGTGTTTATGATCATTATTGAACTAGTGGAGACTGTGTTGATCAGCAAAATAATTCTCAAAGAATTATGGAAAATATAGCTTACTTCTTTCCCCACTTAAAAAAGCTCCTATAGGAAATATATAGCAAACAGTCTTTTCAATTTGAGGTTATGCTACTCAAAATTACTGTAGTCATGTATTCATTTTTTTTGCTCTTATTGAGACTTTTGAGAGACACCGAAAATATAGCTGGAGCTATTTCTGTTTATTTGATTAGTAATATTGCAACATACCTTCAACATTTATGGATTTTTAAAATTAAATACATTTTATTCAGTTTTATTTCCTAGTCTTTTTTTTTTTCTGTCATCAAGCACATTGTAAACAATGTGTGGTAGTGGAATTTTTTTCCCCCAGGCTTCAGTGGATAGAACCTTTTATGCTGAAAATACTGAATGCTTTCAAGTTAAATATTGTAATTCTATATTTGGTAAAAGAGCCTTTAAGTTCTTATGAAAAAATTCAGTGTTTGGAACTAAATTTGGAGCCTAAGGACAACACATTACTACTCAAAACAGTTTCTGCCTCTTTAAAATCTGGCGATCCTTGATTATAGGTTTACAATATAGATTGAAATTATATTATTACATAATATGAATGTCAGTTTTGCTAGAAAATTTCATCTTTTTAGCAGGTGATTTTTAAGTAGACTTCTTAGTATAATTTCATTAATGTCATATGACTATTGATACTTAAGTGAACAAATAGTACTTATAAACTTTTGTTAACATTTTGGATTTTTAAAAAAATTTTGTATATATAATCCTTGGTGATTTAGAATGTTTATAGCTGTTTTTTATTATATTATAGGAATTTGCTTTCACTTCAGTTAGAGTAAAGCTTCCCAATGTAAAAAACTAAATGTCCTTTGAAAAGAATCTGGGATGTAATAGTGTCTCCTAAAGAGTGGAAGTTAGGGCTGGGTGCGGTGGCTCATGCCTGTAATCACAGCACTTTGGGAAGCCGAGGCAGGATCACAAGGTCAGGAGTTGGAGACTAGCCCGGCCAATATGGTGAAACCCCTTCTCTACTAAAAACACAATTGGCCAGCTGTGGTGGCGCACGCCTGTAGTCCCAGGTCCTCTGGAGGCTGAGGCAGGCAAATTGCTTGAACCTAGGAGACGGAGGTTGCAGTGAGCCAACCTCACTGCCCTCCAGCCTGGGTGACAGAGCAAAACTGTGTCTCAAAAACAAAAACAAAAACAGTTTTTGATGACCAATAAAGCAAAGATGTGGGGGGCAGAAATAGGAAACAAATGAATAACCAAAGAAAAAAATATGAGCCTTGCCTTTCATGAAATTTGATTTAAGAAAATCATCTGGAAGCTAAATTATATGGTAGATAATAAACTAGATTGGGACTTCATTTCTGCTGGACTTCCCTAGCATTTAAAATATTCAACATATCCAGGACAAAAGTCAGTTCTCTTTTTAACTTCCTTAATTCTATAAATAAAGGCATTATCATTCAGTCATACAGGATCAAAACACACACAGACACTCTCTCTGTCTTTTGTTTTTTATTTTTTATTTTTGCTCCCTATTTCCCATGGTTCTACTCACACAAAACCTCTGCTTTCTTTCTTTTTTTTTTTTAGACAGGGTCTTGCTGTGTTGCCCATGCTGGAGTGCCATGATCATAGTCACTGCAGCCTTGACCTCCTGGGCTCAGACAATCCTCCCACCTTAGCCTCTTGGGTAGCTGTGACTATAGACATGTGCCACTACACCTGGCTAATTTTTAAAATGTTTGTATAGGAGAGGGTCCCACTGTGTTGCCCAGGCTAGTCTTGAACTCGTGAGTTCAAGCGATCCTCCCACCTCAGCCTCCCAAAGTGCTGGAATTACAGGCATGAGCCACAATGCCTAGCTCTCTGCCTTTTATTTCCACTGCTACCACCTTAGCTTAGTCTCTCTGAAACTTTGAACTACTATAATCATCCCCATCTGAGAGGCATATATTCCAAGACCCCCCCACTGGATGCCTAAAACCTATGATAGTACTTACCGCTGTAGATAACTATGTTTTTTCTATACACACACAGCTATGATAAAGTTTGTAAATTAAGCATAGGAAGGGAGTAACAACAATAGCTAATAATAAAATAGAATAGTTATAATATGCCAGTATCACTACTCTTGTGTTTTAGGGCCATTATTAAGTAAAATAAGAGTTAGTTACTTGAACACAAGCACTGTCATACTGAGACAGTGATCTAACAACCCAGATGGCTACTAAGTGACAAACAGTAGGGCAGCATAGACAGTGCAGATACATGCTGGACAAAGGGATGGTTCACAACCTAGGTGCAACAGAGCTGAACAAGTTGAGATTTCATCACCATACTCAAAACAATATACAATTTAAAACTTATGAATTGTTTATTTCTGGAATTCTCCATTAAAAATTTTTGGACTGTGGTTGACCATGGGTAACTGAAACTGCAGAAAGTGAAACCGTGGATAAGGGGGATTACTGTATTACAGTAGCTTCATTCATTCATTAAACACTTGTCAAGCATGTACCATGTTACTGTGCATGGGTTAGAGATTTAACAGTGAACAAGACAAATACTCACTTTTGGAGCTTACAAATAGTGGAAGCAGGCATTTGCAGAAGAAGGAATTATAAGTGTTCCAAGTATTATGAAGGGAAGATGCAGACATGAGCATTTAACAGACCTAACAGTCAAGATGTAGGTTCTGGGAAGAAGTTTCTGTTTCATCAATCACAGTTCATTCTACATAATTCACCAGATTCAGAGGCTAGTAGATATATTATCCCTGTAATTAGTTAAATAATTAAATAAATAATGGAAAAAAATAAATGTTATTAAATTTAAAAGGCTATTTGAAATTAAATATCCACACAACCCCTGAAACAGCTTTAGACAAGTTCTTTCAGAACACAAGAACACTTGGAAGAGTTTTGTCCTAAAGAGCCCCCTTCCCTCCAGTATGGGTTTCTACTTTGGGTTGTACCAAGCCTCAATTGCTTGAATACTGACAGAGTTCTTATGTTATGTTTTACACTCTTTGTTTGAACCATGAGAAGTTAGGACTGTACTACCAGAAGCCAGAGTACAAGCCATGGTTGTAAGAAGGAGGTGTTCCAAGTAGATCGTTAGAGTGTCTCTGTAGCTAGCGTCCAGTAGCTTATAGGTGATTCATTCAATGTACAGATGATTAGGGTATAATATGTTAGGA